TTCACCTGTAAATATGTTCAAGGGGGATTGAATTTTCCACATTCAGGCGCCAACTCCACTCAACCCTGTCGCTAATATATTAAAGCTGACCTTGCGGTATTCTGGAGCCTTTTATTAGTTATAATTCCGAGAATTACGAATAAATTTCACTACGGAGGGTGGGCGGGACTTACACTGCATCAAAATACATCAAATTCACCAATTAGAACACAAAATCACCAAGAGTTACAGGAAATAAGAGAAAATAAAAGGGAAACTAACAGAAGACACTAACCAAGTCCTGAAACGAACACACATCCGAGTGTGAGCAGAATCCTGGCAGCATGTCAAGTGACGTAACGAGGGAACTATTTTGATCGCGTTCTGACGTTAACAAATTTTTCTCGGAAAGTGTTCAAGAGCGTGACCAATACACTCTATATTTAGTACCCATACAGTGACAAGGTCTGAACTGCGAAATTAACTTTGCCTTATTGCAGAATAGCTATATCAACGATATCCTAGTAGAGCATGGTTGAATGACAAGTGCAGTGTCTTGTTATAAAGTTGCTGCTTGACTTTGTGAATTGTGAAACGACTAGTTTCCACTTTATGTGGAAGGAATTTGAATAAAAATTGAATAAAAATCTAGCGTAACCAGTCAATTATTATCCACCCGCAGAAAGTAGAATACAAATAACACGCGAATAGAGCACACATATCCTGCGATATTGTACAGTTCGTTATTTTGTTCTGTAATAAAAACTGTTCAACCGATCGGCTGCGCGTTACGCTTCTCTATCCGTTTTGCTTTTCCATTAAGAGCAATGAAGAGAAAAACTTGGCAGAAATAAAAAGCAGTTGGATCATAAATAACTTATTGGACGTTTTCTTGTGTAGTATTGCCAAGCATTTTTAATCGTTGTTTGTACTTTGACTCGTAAAAATCGTCAGCGATACAATGCACCAAAAAGTAGTCTGAACAAATCGACAATGGTTTAACGTGGTCTGTACTGGTAGTTGCGAAAACGAAGACCCAGAAAACGAAGGCCTTAGACCATACGAAAACGAAGACCTATTACCAAAACGAAGACCCCCTACGAAAACGAAGACCCATTACGAAAACGAAGATTCATTACGAAAACAAGTTCAAAAGAGGTTGGTATTACCTTTGTGTACAAAGATTATGTTCACGAGACACGCTATGGAAACGAAGATCCTTACGGAAATCTTGAACTCTAAATTTGGCACGTCTGTAAATTATTAGGGAATATTTCAACAGAAGAGCCCCATGGAGCCTTCAATGGGACCACTTGAAAGCTAAAACGAGATTTAACAGAAGAGACATGAACTGCACATGGTCGTATATAATGAAGTAACAAGATTTGTGTTTTTTTTTTTTATAGCAATAACCTCTACTTGCGGTAATTAAACTTCCGGTGAGGAAAAATGTGCTGTTATTTGAATAAAACATGGCAATTCAACTGCTTGATTTCAATAAAACTTTTCTAGCGGAAAAAAAAATTACAAATCAATGTGTTAATCAAAGTGTTACGCTACTCCTCCGAGCGATTTATAAGATCAGGGACCGGAAAAGCCGATGACAACCGTAACAAAACCTTGCAAAACTTCTGCAATATGAACGTCACTCGCACAACAATGTAGAACATCTGGGCAAAAAGTAAAGTGTGCTGTAGGGTACATGTAATGAATTTAAACATTCTGAGACTTAGTGATTTTGAAAAACAAAGCTAGATTCGAAATCGATCACCTGAATATCGTTTTATTCTCTAAATCTCACGAAACAAAGGAACATAGAAATTTTCCACTAGATTGAGAGCGAGAATAGATTCTCCAAATAAACTTTGTGCGATTCTTGGAGTAAGTTGCGAACCTCGCTAGGAATCGCGATATAGTTGTTAGTGAAGTAAGGGAACCGTGGCATGTTACACTACGGGTCAGCGTGGAAGTAACGCGTTGACTCCTTGTTTCAAGCTTGTTTGTTTTTCCGATCTCCATGCAGAGGAAAGTAGTACACCAGATCGAATGGTACTATTTTCTGCCTGTGACAAAAGTCGTTCTTGCACCCTTTGCATGTCTTCGCATCAGAAGGCAGCAGCAGGCATAAGACGAATGGATGGTCATTGTGATAAATTTCATTGTAAACGTGTGTTGCATTGTTAGACGATTCTTCTGGCTGCATGGCATTTGCTGTAGAATCGTATGTGTTAGAGGGGCAGTAATGAAACTTGTTTTTAGACCCTTTCTTTCAGGCAACAAATTTATTCACAAACGCCTGTGCTAAAGCAGTTCGCGAGGCCTTTTTTTTACCTTGACCCTTGCAAATGTGTTCAAGGTGTTTGCGAAACATTTCGCTTTTCTCCGTTACAGCAAGGGAGTGGTTGTAAAGTTTATCGGCCTCGAAACTTGGGCACCGACACGATAGTGGCCTTGGTGTTCGAAAATCTTACGATTTTGCCTTTTGAGTTTACGCGCATAAGGCATTGAAATAAATTACACACAATCCTGTAGTTTCCGGTTTCTGTGAGTGATTGTCGTATTGGGTCTTCGTTTTCGTAATGAGTTTTCGTTTTCGTAGGGGGGCCTTCGTTTTCGTAATGGGTCTTCGTTTTCGTAGGGGGTCTCCGTTTTCTTAATGCGTCTTCGTTTTCGTAGACGCTTGATTTCTTGTCAGTTGTAAAAAAAAAAAGCAATCAGTGAACAATCAATTGATTATTGATTAGCTATGCTTGAAGGAATCGAATTTAAATGAAGGCTTCTCAATTTCCGGGAAAACAAGTGTTCATCTAGTGTGATCTGTCATTCATTTTTCCATCAGCAAGGATAACAACAATTTGCTGTACTGCTTTATTTCTGTATCACCTGTTTCAGTTTAAAAATTCTGGAATTCGACAATTATCCATGAGGCTAAGCAATAATTCTTCATTTTGAAAAATTTAGCCCAGATTTTGCATTCGTAATACTCGCAACCTCCTAAGTCAGCCCTGCTCCTTATAGATTCCCTTTCCATCTCATGTTTACAATTTGCTCTATTAAAAAAAATATTGTTGAGAATTCTTTTATGTCGCACTTTGGAGAATTGGTTTACCTCTTCTTCCCGGCAGAGGCGAGAGTACCAAATACACACCATACTTAGTTGGGCCGTCTTCAAAAATGTTTCATATTAGTAACGGTGGTCGAAGTAAGTTCCTCAATTAACGATCTCGGTTCAATACTTTGACTTCCCTTTAAATCGTTTGCTATGTATCTGCAAACGCTAGCTGTAAGACAGACCGTTTCTCCCTCAACCATCTGCGAACTCAGGGTCGGATCCGAGGATGTTTTCGTACGGGGAGCTCAAACTTTGATTCAGAAAACACGTATAGATAGATACGATTAAGTTAATAGATAATAAGAAAGGGATAACTGCATTTTGAATACCTCAAGCATTTCGTTTCAATAGATCTCTACGGCTACCCACAATGGGAGTGAAACACAAAGATTTGCAAAACAATGCCCTGCACGAAATCAAACGGTGAACTTCAACATTTCTCCACTTTAATGACAACTTCTAAAAACTTGTATGTTTTGAAAAGTGCTTAACAATTAATGAAAATCTATATGAAGGCATGGAAAGATTTCAAATTATGTAACATGAATGACGTAACTGATTACTCCCATAAAAAAGTGCTGATCTTCACTCATGCGTCATTAACAGTTTAAGTATACTATTTGAAAATTCCTTAACTTTCACAAATGTTAATATTAAACTCATATTTTCCAAACATGCAACGACACTACCTTTAAGTTATAGACTGAAATTGATAGCTCAAAAAGAAGTTAAGCGAGCCGAGATTGTTACTACAAATCCATTCTTTTCTTCCTACAAAACAAATAATAACATTTTTAACGGTCGAGATTTGTTAGCGGAACATATTTTGCCTAAAAACACTTATTTCTATGCAAAAGATCTGATTATCTTAACTGGCTAGGTTTTTATAACAACAATAAGCAACAAAGGACACAACATAGAAATATGGAAGCGTTAATACTCCTTGAGAAAATATGTTTTAGCCAAAAAGTGTAAAATTTTGAGGATGATAGATTACAATCCTAACTTTATTCATGTCCATCAAACAAGCATCCTTAATAGCTAGCATAGTTAACTAAGTCAACAGTTAACTTTTGAAATTAAGTGTTATATTTCTAAGTAATATATTTCATTCTTAGCTGATTTTAACAATCCGTACTTTCACAAGTCTTAACTAAAAAGTGACGACAAACTGTCAGTGGCTAGTTAGAACTGGAGAAGTGATTAAAAAGTAGATGTACACTCCTACATTTCGAAGAATTAAAATGCAAGATATACCAAAACTTTAAAAAACTGTAAAATCAACTGTAAAATCAAATCCAAAGTAATCACAACAGTGAATCATAGCGAAGGAAAATATCACGCGAGTCCTCTTTGGACTCTCATTGGTTTAGAGGATGGACCAAGAGCAAGGGTGCAAAAAGAGCAAAAGAGTAAACTAAAGCAAATAAATGCAGATTATGTGCGAAACTCTACTGAGAATTACTCTACTGGAACAAAGTCTCACATAGACGAATGCTGTCTTCGATCCATGGTAATAAAGATTACGTGTCGACTGTTGGAGAAATCGGTAGGGTAAGGTACATTTCACCACCGGCTTGCAATCTAGAGAAATAATGCAGATGAGAAGATCAAAAAAAAAAAGTTTCAGTTACTATTCGCCACTATTTTCAATGATGTTCGAAAGAAGACGTATGTTGAAAGTGTTTCAGTGGCTACTAAATTTCTTTCTTTAATGTGATTTTACTTTGTTATCATTTCTGCAATATGACAAGCGTCTTAAATTCTATATCGATTTGTAGATTTACTCTGTTTCAAAGTAAATGTGAACTTGGTAGCGTGTAGCTATTTTTAATGGAGGAAAGTCGTAGCGATTCATTAACGAACCACTTGAACAGCACACAGTTCTTGTTATGACAGTATAATACCATAGGACGTCTCAGCAAAAGCGGTAAAAAAAAGAATGCGAAGGCAACAGTTCAAACTTTATTAATCAAAAGTAATAATAACAATGCCAGATTAAACTCACTCTGTGTTTGTAAATACTAAGCAGGATCCTTCTCCATTTCCTGCCGCATGTCGTCGATCTTTTTCAGGGTTGTTTCCTTTACCTCTTTTTGACCTCTTAGTTCCTTTTGCTTCTCAATGCACATGTCCAAAGCATTCTTCTTCTCTTTGTTCCGCATGTCTCTCCACTTCCGTGGCTTGAAAAGGGGGAAAATTGTGTCGAAGGCAGTTTTTGCGACAGAAATTACAGAATGATGTAATGCAGTGTTCCCATCATCGTCAGAGCTTTGAACCATTATTTCAGATGACCTCACCGTCATAAACATTGGCACTGATTCTACATTCTCTTTCCTGATTGCCACAGACAAAGAAGACATTCCTGGGACCAATTCATTATGGGCTGGGTGATTCACATCAAAATCAGAAGGTAGCTGACTATTGAGGTCAACTTTTTGTGAGGTGATAAGGTACTGCATCACAAGAGGACTATTGGCAGGGAGGGAACACGCTTTAAGGAGTGCATTGTAACCTCTCTCGTCTCTTTCTCCCAGTTCATCAGAGTGAGGCTGAAGCTTGTTTTTGATTTCGTCTATCGTCAGGCCCCTTCTGCACTTTTCCTCAAATTGCAGTTGAGTTTCTCTATATTCTCTCCAGAGTTCCACAATGATCCTTGTTACACCGTTGGTACCATCCATGTGTGTGTCGACATCAGTCTTTTCTCCTTTTGCCGCTATGCTTGTGATTTGAAGGTTGGATAAGGTACCCTCCACCAATGTGAGCAGATTTCTAGTTTCCTCAGGGTTCCTTTCAGAAGTCTCAATATTACTGGTGCCAGTTTCTACTTCACTGTTGTCATCGTTTTGCGAGAAAGATGCCTCGATCAAAATCCAACGCAAACGACATCTTCTTGGGTCCGCTGCAGACAAAATAGAAAATCGCGCATTTCTGTCGCTCATTTCCTGACTAAAACAAATACCATTCTCGGTTGGTATGGTGTATATAGTCAACTGCGGCCACTTCTTCTTTACCTCCTCGACACTTGAAACGAACACAATTTTCTCCTTAGTGCGACGGAAATGTGAGTCAAGTAGAATTAAGTTTTCCATGCTCCGATTTCCTGCAGAGTAGGAGAGAACCAGCAACGATACTCCCTTTGCAAACGCTTCTTCGGTAACAGTGCAAGCATCGACTTTATCAACAATGTTGAGAGGAGACTTCCTTCTTTCCTCCTCCACAATTCGATCATATCCAATTCTCCCTTTGAAGCTTTTTTCACGGCCACTGGTGTTCGTTAAGCTGCAAAGGTACTTTAGGATAATTTCCTCTTCCGCAGCTTCTGATAGGTCGCTTTCCACCCGTCTTTCGACGATGGAACATTCCTCATCCCACCGGAAGACTTGTCGCGGGACGAGTTTCATAATCCAGTCCTTGTACTGAACTTTAAAGAAAGAGTAACGGTTGCATTTAACAACCCATAGACCTGCTTTGTCACAATCATCGTTGAAGCGCAGATCTTCCCAGCAGGGCCATGGACGATAAAAGACGCCTTTTTCCACAGTACTTTTGACATTAAGCAAGACTGCGGCGTACACTTGCGTCTTTGCAAAAGGTCTCACAGCTCTTGGGATACTTCTCATCAGACCAAGAATACCATAGCTCCCATGCTGCTTGTCGCGAAACAACTTTGCAGGACCAGAGTAGGTATATAATGGAAAACCCTGTGCTTCAAAGTCATCTTTTAAAGGATGAGGTTCGTATTCCTCGTCCACTATGGGTGGAGTTTCCCTTCCTTGTGCTATTTTCTGAAGACTTGTCAAAGGCTTTAGGAAAGTGCAGCGCGCCATTTTCATCACCCCGTTGTCATCTCTCAGGACTTTTCTTTCTTTTCCAGACATGTCATCAGTTGGAAATTCTGCCTCTGACATCATAGCCACATTGTCATCAATCATGAAGACGTACTCAAGCTCTAGAGAAAATGCAATCTTTTGAATAAACAGTCTGGCGTAACCAATTCCTCCTTCATCTGGTGCAAGGTCGCAATTGGGAAGGCTCTCTGGAAGTTGTAGAATGACGAGCACTTTTCCCCACGTGGATCTGTAAGCCTCGAACTTTTCCTTTCGAACAATGACAACCTGGACATAATTTGCAACACTATCACCTTCCTTCATGACGTGGTGATAATTCAAAGTGCACTTCCTGGGATCACTTCGGTGTGAAGGATGAAATATCCAGTATGGCAAAGTGAGACTGTCCTCTTGTGATTTAGCGCTCGCTAATTTCTCTTGTAGTTGAGTGAATGACGGACAATTGCTTGGCAAGGAGCACCTAACAGTGACTCGTATACCATCTATGTCTACCTTCACATTTTCCTCGATAGATTCTCTGCCCTGGAGTAATCTTCCGCAGTCAACGCATTCCTCGAAATGGCTCCAGCGCCACGCACGGAGGCCATTTGAGCAATCCTCAGTCCTGAGCTTCTCACGACCAGTCTCGATTGGCGTCCGCCCTTCCTTTAGAAGAATGAATGGACTTTCCTCCGTGTCATGAGTGTAGACGCACTCTCCTATTGAGTACTTTCCGGTCCCAACCGGTTTTTCGTGCAGACTCGGAGAGGTTTCGATTGTCTTCCAATATGGAAATTGCCAGTTTTCGCGTTCATCCCTCTCTCTCAGTATCGACTCGTCAGGGTAATTGCTTTCCCTGCGCTGATAAAAGTTTCCCTCATCAAATGCAGCAGGTGAGGCAAGCATAACTCCCTCCTTTCCCAAGATGTCAAGTCGTAAATCTCGTATCAGGCACAAGTACGTTCCCGTCTTGCCAATCTGAGGTTCGGCTTGCAGAAGGATTCTGTTGCAGTGCTTTTGTTCGTTTCCATAATCGTAGCTGTCTTTATGAGCTACATAGTCGAGCCATCGCAATGGCGATGATTGTGTGTCCTTTTTTTTGGACGTCTTTGTCATATAACGGTCTGGATTAGTACAGGACGTTACATTTATTGACGGTGATGTCTCCAATGACGTCTGGAGTTTCTTGAATAGCTGTCGACCAATCAATACATAAGGAATCACGCTAGAAGAAACATTTGCATAACGGCAGATTCTTCCCAGCTCTTGAATAAGACTTGAAAGATACACTGCTGAGTCCTCTTTAAACTCTTGACTGCTGTCGTAGCTGAGTCGCAAGTCAAGACAGTCAAAGCTCTGGGGAAATGTGTCTCCCATGCGACCTTTACCGACCAGAATGAGTATGCATGCTAGGTTTTCCAGGTCCTCATACTGTGTTATGGATTTATGCACGTGATGACAGTTGGAACACGTTTTAAGTCTAGGTTGTAGTTCTAACTTACTGCAACAACAATCAAACTTGTAGGTGCAAACTTCTGGTTGAACCTTTTTAAAGAACGGACTTGACGGTTTCATGAGCTGGTTCTCAATCTGAATACCTCCATAGTCTCTAATGACTTCAAAGTGTTCTTTGAGACCCGACAATTCTCGCGCTAACCGAACTGTGTAATAAAATTGATCAGCAGTTTTCTGTGTCTTTGCTCGTACAATTTTCATCTTTCCCAGATGCCCCTTCCCGCTCTGTATCAGATCTTCCACTAGAGAACTTGTTTCATGTTTTTGTACTAGATTGTGCCATATTCGTACCATTTCCTTGCAGCCGTTTGCTTGCAATTGTTGTTTAATGTCTTGAAATAGGGGTGTGTTGTGTTTGAGTTGCTCGAATTTTTGCGGAGGAAGATGCATTATGCATTCAACTATTGAGATGGCCAGTTGCTCCTTCGATGTCTGCATTTCAGTACAGTCAGGTGCCGTTTGTTTCTGCAACTTCTCTACATTCTTCAAGTGTGCTTCGAACTGTTTTGTCACTCTGTCGTATATATTTCTTTGAATCAGCTCGAAAGCCTCTGGGTGGATGTATCTTTCCACGCCTTTTACTTTAAGTTTCATCTTGTACACTGCAAGAAGACGGTGGAATTCAGTAGTGGGTGATTCTTTGCCTTCAAAAGTCAGTGCTTTGCATATTTTGTCATCACTGTTAAAAACGCTTGAGAGGACAATGTGGTAGCAGTAATCAGCACAAAGTAAGGCATCAATCGGAAAAGAAGTCGAATCTGACTGTGACACCTTCTTCTCTCTCTTAGCCTTATCAACAATGCTTTGAAAGGTCTCATCTTCTCGTATTTTCTGGTCCTTCCTTCTGGGACTGTCTATGGTGCTGAGATAGTAGTTCAAACTCATATACTGCTTCCCTACCGTTTTGACCTCCATTGGTGCGGACTGATCAGTGTAGAATTGGAAAGAAACTTTAGCCAATTTATGCATTGGTTTCATAATAGAGACACCACATTTAAGCTCAATTTTCGCGGCTTGCAAACTGACATACTCATTTTCGTCAACAGAAATGTAGTGATCTTGTCTGTCGCAGGATCGAAATGCGACAACTCCAACTCCAAAATCCATCTTAACCTCAAATTTCGTTGGCATTGGAGGATCACTTTTGGCTTCTAATTGTCCATAGCTATCCGGGGTTACAGTCAACAAGCGTCCTGCTCTTTCTACTTTGAAAGTCACTATGCCGTGACTGCCTTGGATAATGAATTCCGTTGCCTCTTCTGGTACAGATGTAACAACTAGGTTTCCCTCGGTAGAAACCTGAAGGTACAGGTATGAAGAACCTTTGATCTTTAAAGATGACTTGAGTTTCATTCGCATTCCTCTCTCAAAGTTTTTAAGTTCAACTTCTGACCAGTGGACAACGTGAAGTTCAAGTTCCTTTGAGGTGTTTCTTCCTTGTTTTAACTCTGGTTCCTGGGCCAACACCAGATCACCTGCTCTGTATTGTTTCCGAATGATGGAGACGTCTTCCTTCTGTATAATGCACTGAACCTCCGCAAGGCGAGAGTTCTGCGTCAGGAGGTTGAAGGGCGTCGCAGAGATTTGCAGAACAATTACATTTTTGGGAGGTTTTTCTTTGCACCATTCATTGATGAAAAGATTGTGGGCAGAGGGTTTCCTCCCTTTGTCTTTAGTTATTCCCCAATGGCATTCGTCTGCTACGATGACAAATAGTGTACGAGGTTTTTGTTGAACATCTCTTTTAAGTTCATCAAAATTCGTATCTGTATCTGTGCTGCGAACATACATGAACATCCGTTTCTTTCCGTCGCCTGCATGCGATTCGAGTTCTTTTTTTGGTATAACGCCTGCGTCAGGATGGTAAATCCTCTTCGCTGTCTGACCGCTTAGCATTCTGTACCGTGCTGTATAAACTACAAATTCAACGTCGTTGAAGACCTCCCTTAGTTTTGAAATGTTATGGTAATGGGACATGATGGCGTCAATTCGTTTCTTTAAAATGGCTGCCATTTCTATTTGGGAAGGATAGTAGCAAGGCTTGTTCGGGTTTGCTTGGACTTCTTCCTCAACTTGTTCGTCTTCATCCGACGAGTAATTATCTGCGATAAAAAAATCCCGGCTTTCCTCTCTCTCGTCTTCTGCATCACTTGCTGTCGCTTCACTCAGAAGGATTTTGCTGATTTCTTTTCGTCGCTCTCCGGAAGGATCGGTATCGTTGTTCATTTTAAGTTCGACGCTCGCGATGTTTCCTTAGGATGGGTAACAAACAACAATGTGATCAAACCCGGTATTTCTTAAGTAAGTTTTAGTGACAAATACTCTTACAAAACACACCAATAGACTTGAAATCTCTGGAAAGATCACTTAAGTTACCAATTAGTAATGAAATGGAATTAGCTAATTTATTTAGGGTAACGTTTACTTATTATGCGCAAAGAAGCGATCTTTTCTGCCTTTTAAGATGTGATTAGGGTGACAGTATCGTCAAAGGGTGGTCTCCTTTTCCATTCTCCAGGAAAATCTTGATTTACTCCTTTACGCTCTCTTTTTGTCAGGACAATTCCTTTCAACTTATTACAGTTTTAAATTACTTGGCTGTTAAATAACGCTTAGGGTCATGTTTTGGCTTCAAGGTTGGATTCCGTGACCATCATGCTAAATTAGTGGTCTTCTCAAACTGTTATCAATACTGTCAAACCCCAACTGCAACTGCTTTGCTACATAGCTCAGTTATTTTTTAGCGTCGGAACGGTATGGATTGACAGTCAAGGCTTTTTAAGAGTGAATGTCACCAATGATCACACAATTGGTGGCAAGAGCTAAAAAAACAATTTCGCCCATATTTCAAAGTTAGGTAGGTCTCAATGGGAAATATATCACTGCATAATTCGTTTGGCTGAATACCGATTTATTTTCGAGGAAATTGATAAGAACTGAATTCCGCCAAAACACCGTCTTCAAAGCTCAGAATTTCAGACAAATCTCGGAGCGTCGCGCCACGAACTGAAAACTCTTGGACCGATAAAAAGTACTAAATCTTGAAAAACAACATCAAAACATAGGTTGACAGCAATTTTAGCAATTCTTGATTGTTTATATACACAATCTAATCGAATTTATCCGACCGTCTTCAAGCTAGATTAAAAATAGGTTAAAAGCAACCTATGTGCTAAACAATATAATCGACTGAAAATCTGGCTTTTTACAATTAGACTTAACGACGAAATTGCGTGACGACAGTAACAATAGCAATATGGCAGTCCTCTAAAGATAATTCCAAATGTACAATAATGAAAGCCCGAGTTCACGCACCTATGCGTCTAGTTAACTAGAATCTTTGGCTATTACCAAGGTCTTTACAACACTAACAGACAAGATAAGTATTTATTATATGGCTGTGTCTCCCAAGGACTGGGAACTATCGAATTCACGAATTTGATTGGCTGAAATCAATACTGAAAGCGGTCTTGGTTTTCCCATCTAGACCGGAATCTAGACCGTTTTAGAAAAAAAAGATACAAAGAATATAAAAAATTGGTATATAAGACACAGCCACATAATAAACATCTTATTGACCGAGCGGGAGGTCTGTATGGGAGAGTCTTGACCTCGGTCGCTGTTACAGACCTCACTGCGTTCGGTCTGTACTGGCGATCTTGGTCAAGATTCTCTCATACAGACCTCCCGCTCGGTTAATAAGAACTAAGTAATCGTGGCTCACCACTATTTAATACAACGACAACTTCTAGCTTAAAAAGATTGAGGAGAAAAATGACTCATTAGATTCACCCCAAATAGCAATAGGTATAAACCTACATAAATAAGGGATAAAAACCTCCTTTCATGAGGTCGATTTGTTCAAAGCTTACAAAAAGAACGGCGTACATTTTGGTTTGTTTTGAAACGTGCGGAAGTAAATATGGCGGTCAGCCGCACTCGTCCCGAATTGTATTTGGTGAAATTACACACAAACATTTTCACAAGAGAGTTCATTGTGAAATTCACATTATAAATGACAAAGCTTGTACACTCACGAAAAATTAGTCAATAATGACCCACTAGGAGCCTGTAATGGCATTTTGTTTGTTAGCCCTTATTACTGTCCTCAAGCTCGACTGAGCAGACTTATTGAAGCGCCTCCAGTGTTGCTGTGTGACGTCATTGGCAGTGATCATTTGACGGTGGCTTTTGCCAGAGAACGATGGGGCCACCCCTCCCTACTTGGTGATGTAGATAATTAGACAAAATATCATTATAAACTCACACTTTATTTACTGGGTATAATGTAAAGAGTTGTACCTTGTTTGGGATGAAGGCTGACATAGTGTAATTCAGGGATGTGTCCCAACACAAGTGTCCTGCGGTATTGTGACTCTATGATAGTATCCTCGTGAACACAGCTGACCACACGAATGCAAGTTTTGTAGCAGTTTGCTGCGGCACATAGAATAACATGGTCACCCCAAAAGCCATCTTGCTCCATGTTGGTTAAGTAATCAGCCCATGATTGATCTCCACTGTATAATTCAGGCAGATGGCTTCCATTCGGCTGTGAGAGGAGTACAATAGAGAAAGAAACTTAAGAGTGCAAAGTTAATGATACACTGGACCAGGTTGAGTAGGTTGGAAGGACTCATCGGATGAGTACATAACAGAGATGCTAAACAACAGTAAGAACGGATAATAACCAATCAGAGTAATGAACACAAGGATCTACATTGGATGTAGCAGTCTCAACTTCTGAATTTGCCCTTCTGAAACATCGAATATCTTGTGTCCACCTTATCCAGAGTAAAGGTTATCCAATTAGGATTGTCCCATCTGGGGGAGATTCAAGTGCGAAGTATTCGAGTTGGTCGCTTTCTCCACAAGACAAAGTCCATTAATTTTCCCAAGGAGGTCTGAATTCATCCGTGACTCGGACATGGTCTCTACTAAAACACTTGAACAGCACAGTGTGTTTTTACGAGCAATCCAGAAATATTAAACAATTATTCTACGAAATAAAGGTGAATAGGGTTGGGTATTTACCGAGGCAAAGAGGCAAGGTAATTATCCACCACATTCACCGACACTGAGGTGGAAAATTATTTACGTAGATACCAGAGGGCGGTGAATGGTACTTGCTAATCCCTTACCAATGAGCGCGCGGTATGGTTTATACTACAGGCTGAATTCAGAGTATTTATGATCCTTATTATCCCCTACAGGAGGAGTAGTGCTGTGTTGGCCAGTTGGCCCAGATGCGGATCTAACCTTTATGGTGCTCCTAAATTAACAGTAGTTAACACAGAGACATCAACTTACTAGTGTTGGGTTTACTCTGAGGTACTGGACCAATGCTTTTCTTAATTCGTCATGCTCGATTTTGCTTCTCAATACAGTTTCCAGTTGATCTGACAATGCATAGAACATGCAATTTCCTTTTCCTTTATTGTCAACAATTCTGTAGCCCCTGTCTGAAGCTCTTTTCGTGAAATCAATATTTAGGTTTGTCTTGTCATTGACTTTGCTTGGATCGAGTTGCATCTGCTGAGGCTGAGCACGTGACTCAACAGAATCTAAGTGAACAAACGGATGAATGAACAGAGGATAAATACCACCATGCCCGTGATTTAAGGAGGACCAACACAGAATACTACATTATAAATACTTTTTTTTCCAGGTTTCTACGAGTTCTAAATAATAAGTTTCTTTGATATATATAGGAAATTTATAGAAAAGGAAGTGAAAAGGAATTCTCAACAGCCAACTGAGCCTTCCATTTTAAGAAAAATCGAAAAACTTTTTACATCCTGATTTGAAGCGCTTCAGTTTGGTTTTCACGTAAATTGGGTCACTTGAAATGGCAAATATTACTTAAAATAACTAAATAACTCTCCGTGACTCATCCAGATCAGAAATTCAGAGAAACAAAATTTTGTTATACACGACTAGCGTTTGAAAACAGCTCAGGTGTTCGTTTCAACACGTCTCACTTATTCTAAACATCATTGAGAGGCTGCAGTCTCTCTGAAAGCGGTAAAATGCATTGCGGTTCAAAATATCGATTTCTTTCAAAATTGTCCCATGAATCTGTCTTAGTCTAAAATAAATGAAACCACTCTGGTTTTTCGAATATTGTAAAATAATTTTTCCCAGCGAAAATCGCTTCAAAGGCCTGTTTTTGACAGCGCCAGTCGTCAAAAATGACAATTGAATTACTTTTGTTTAGGGAATTTTTTTATTTCGCATATTTAGATCGACCTTCGTGAGAAACATGTTCCCGAACCAGCAACATTCCGCTTACATTTAGTTCGCGGTTTGGTTGAAGACTTATATTTAAACAAAGATCTCTTAATTGAAGTAATTACAGCCTCCCTTTCAACGAAATGGGAGAAGAGAAACTTCGAGCTACGCTTTGTACTCAATCGTCGGACTATTCTTTCGAGTTACATCGCTACTCAGAGAGCGATGCAACAATTTCAGGACTGCAATCCTCTATTGTTATACAGCAACATGGAGGCTAAGTAGATATTATGTCAAAAAGGTTGTAGTTTGGATGTGAAATGCGAAACAATCCAGGTTGCGTGAGGATGTGTACATTTTCGACTAACTCACGGCACCGTCAAATCAGCGTATTTTATCCAACTTTAAAATTTAATGAAATCACATTGAATCATTTCCCCAAAAAATCCTTCGGAAGTTGAAAAGAACTACACTTCGCCTTCCAAAAGCCATATTTTCAGTCGATTATGTTGTTTAGCACATAGTTCAAAAACGGGTTACTTTCAACCCTATTTTTAATCAATTCAGATGAAGGTCGCATAAATTCAATTAGATTGTGCATACAAAACAATCAACAATTGCTCAAATTGCTGTCAACATATGTTTTGATGTTGTATTTCAAGATTTGATACTTTTTATCGGTCCAACTGTTTTCAATTCGCGGCGGGACGCTCTGAGATTCGTCTAAAAAATTTTGAGCTTCTAAAGCGGCATTTTGGTGGAAATCTGTTATTGTTGATTTTCTCAAAAATAAATCGATATTCAGCCAGACGAAGTATCCAGTGGTTGTTTCACTGTAAGGCCCACCTGACTTGAGAATATGAGCCGAATCGATTTTTTGGCTGTTGCCACGATATTTTCAAAAATGTTCGATTATTGGCCACATCTGCTCTTAATCCCTTTCAAGCATACATTTTTATCAAGCTTTTTTACTGTTTACTGTTGGTTTCATAACTGCGATGACATTTCTTCCATCAATAGCTTGTGCTATTGAGTTCGTAAGCTTTGTATAAGATAGAAATAACTTACCTTGAGCAGACATCGCTGTTCAAATGAGGTTTCTCACAAACAATAGTCGGTCTAAAACCAAAGTACGTAGACACTCGTTAGACCAAACTCTTGTGCGTCATAAGCAACATACTAATTTATTCATGGTATCATTGCATACATTACGGAATGCATCAAATTAGGCATTTGAAAGGAAAAATAATGGCACTGTCCACCAATGAGATGAGCGGAGACCATGTTGGAAATTCAGGGAGATTTTGATATAAAATAAATGAACTTCAGTTGCTTTGCTTACATACGGGAGTATAACGTCTTTTTCTGGATCTGATCTTCCTCAAAGTGCTTGCGCAGATACCCTCGGGAAAGGGTTCATCATAAGGCTTTACCTTCCAGCTGCCTGAAACTTTTTGTTAAAGAAGATGGGGTATAAGCCATTAATGTACGTAGGGGCATATGGGATTCTTAATGGATTCCGATATTGTCCATAGACTATTTATCCCCTCGATTAGCCCGCTGGAACCAATCCAATGAAGATTCTATGAAACAGAAAGGTTGATTTTTGTATAAGCCAATATTCCATTCGATATTCCGTACTGCATTGGTTAATCAAGAGATTTTTCAGCGTTCCTAACCTCTTAAAACTGGATTAAAATGGGGAATAATTGTTTTGGTAGGCCATGAAATGAAGCAAGAATAATTTTAAGATCCTGAAGCTGTCTTTAATCCCCTCAGAAGGCACCCATAACATCAGCAAAGGAATTTCAACAGCCCAGATGACAGGATAGAGTTTGTAACTTGGAAAAAGGCGTATATTTCCATTTTCGGCGGGGAGACTTGAACATAATTCTGCTTTATGAATAGATGTTGAACATAGCTACACAACATTGGGCTTTTTTCATTCGGGCTCGTTTCCTTCAATTTGCTCCTTAACCCTTACCAAAAAAGATGGCCTTGAAGTATACTTTAAGTATACTACAAGTATACTGCATCAAGAGTGGTTATACTGCAATCATACTTCAATAATACTTCAATAGTACTGCATTTACTTAAGTACATCTGCAGTACACTTTAAGTACACTGCTCAAGTGAAAATCATTTTCTTTGTTCTTGATGTTGGGTTCAAGTATACTTTGAGTATACTGCTCGGGTGAAAATCATTTTCTCTGTTGTTGATGTAGGGTACAAGTATACTTTAAATGTATCACACAAACATACCAAGAGATGTATATATCTGTACATGTTTATCATAAAATTTATTATTTAAACTAAGTTTTAGTAAATCTTAACGTTAATATACATTTTTTTCATAAAGCAGCAGTCAGTTACATTAAGTGCAAGGATCTACTGCGAGGATCGTGCATCATACGTATCTAATACCGCAGTTCAAAATATATGAACTTCATATATTTCATTGTATCTGAATTATCACTTTCACAGGTTTATTACGAATCAACTTAACGGCCTGCTCCCAGTTGGCTTGTTAGCTCAATTGGTAGAGCGCTGCACTAGTATCGCAGAGGTCAGTGGTTCGAATCCCGTACAGGCCTGATTTTTTTCAGGTCTGATTTTCGCTATTGCTTAAATAGCGCTATCTACTGCGAGGATCGTGCATCATACGTATCTAATACCGCAGTTCAAAATATATGAACTTCATATATTTCATTGTATCTGAATTATCACTTTCACGGGTTTATTACGAATCAACTTAACGGCCTGCTCCCAGTTGGCTTGTTAGCTCAATTGGTAGAGCGCTGCACTAGTATCGCAGAGGTCAGTGGTTCGAATCCCGTACAGGCCTGATTTTTTTCAGGTCTGATTTTCGCTATTGCTTAAATAGCGCTATCTACTGCGAGGATCGTGCATCATACGTATCTAATACCGCAGTTCAAAATATATGAACTTCATATATTTCATTGTATCTGAATTATCACTTTCACGGGTTTATTACGAATCAACTTAACGGCCTGCTCCCAGTTGGCTTGTTAGCTCAATTGGTAGAGCGCTGCACTAGTATCGCAGAGGTCAGTGGTTCGAATCCCGTACAGGCCTGATTTTTTTCAGGTCTGATTTTCGCTATTGCTTAAATAGCGCTATCTACTGCGAGGATCGTGCATCATACGTATCTAATACCGCAGTTCAAAATATATGAACTTCATATATTTCATTGTATCTGAATTATCACTTTCACGGGTTTATTACGAATCAACTTAACGGCCTGCTCCCAGTTGGCTTGTTAGCTCAATTGGTAGAGCGCTGCACTAGTATCGCAGAGGTCAGTGGTTCGAATCCCGTACAGGCCTGATTTTTTTCAGGTCTGATTTTCGCTATTGCTTAAATAGCGCTATCTACTGCGAGGATCGTGCATCATACGTATCTAATACCGCAGTTCAAAATATATGAACTTCATATATTTCATTGTATCTGAATTATCACTTTCACGGGTTTATTACGAATCAACTTAACGGCCTGCTCCCAGTTGGCTTGTTAGCTCAATTGGTAGAGCGCTGCACTAGTATCGCAGAGGTCAGTGGTTCGAATCCCGTACAGGCCTGATTTTTTTCAGGTCTGATTTTCGCTATTGCTTAAATAGCGCTATCTACTGCGAGGATCGTGCATCATACGTATCTAANTTGGCAACTGAAGCTGCGAGCCCAGCAGAAAAAGACAAACGGCTGCTTAGTCTGCAGTTTGGGATAACTTCATTGCAATTAATTATTACAGTTACAACAAGAATTTAATATTAAAAATCAATTATTTAACTGTAATAAGGCCCTTCACTCCCAAGAGTGTTCAGTCAAAATTGAGAAGAAATCTCTCAATTTCAACTTGCAGAATCGACAAAAACAAACAACATAGCATGAAGATGCTGCTTGACAGCTTACATTTGAATTTTAACACACGAGTTTTATCCAAAGAAGTTACAACCACATTAAATTAAGTCAAAGCCTGACTCAGGGAGGAAAGGATAAAATGTTATTTGTATCATCATCCCAAATTAAATGATTCCTTTCAAGACTATTTTTTGACTGATAGTATTTATTGCAATAAACATAACTGGAGTTATTGCATTTCATGAAAAAGAATCAACAGATTTTATTCACGATTTGTGTGAAACAAAATTTACTGATTCACAAGGACTATTTAAATGAAAAGCTGTAATTGAGGATAATTTTTATGAAGTCTTCAAGAAAAGAAAAAGAAGTTTCATCATAATATTACTACATATTGCAGTTAATATACAATAGCAAATAATTAATATGTAAACCCAAATAATTGACATGTTAATTAAGCATGTAAATAAATTTCATTGACTACTTGAATTTATAGTTGGGAGTTAATGCATGTATTTATTTGATATAAGTTGCCTTGAAGTATTCCTAAAATTCCCAGTAATTATTAACCATTCCTTTAAATTCCTTGGAATTTCCAGCAAGTTTTTAGATTCATGGTATTTCAGGGAAGTCATTGGTGCTCTGAGTTGGAATTCCTAAGAATTCCCAGGAGTTTCTAGGAATTCCCAAGAATTCCCAGGAATTCATTCCTGGAAATAAAATTAGTTCACTAACCACAAGGGCAAGTGGTTGGCAACCTGCCAGGGAAGTAAACAATTTAATTGATTAAATTAATTAAGATGAATTAATATGATATGATTGGATGCTTAGTAGATAAACTATTTTCTGGTATGATTTGCACGAGTTGTTTACTTTTCTAATCATTAAATAGTGAAGTCAATTTTTTATGATAAATTTATTAGTACATCCTATGACAACCATTTTTTTATTGGCTTTAATCATCACACTGTGAGACATTGCTGATTTTAATGAAATTTGTTTTCTGTTGTACATGATTGAATGATGAAGTCCATTTATGGATATTCTTTGTTTTAAAACAATAACTATTTTTTCTTAAGTATCCCAACATTGTGAGAGTTAGTTTAATTTGCATGGAATTTATTGTCATAATTTTATAAAATAATCCAATGATGGATTTCATTGTAAAAAATATAAATTTTTTTTGCATCAAAAGACAATTTTGCAGCAGACGTCTTTTACAAATTTAGGTTATTTAATTGTCATGGTCAGTTGTACCAAATGAATTAAAGACATGAGTTTCATACTTAAGTTTTAATGCTCATCTGACTAGGCCAATTATATAATACAGCTGAACACATGCCATATGAACTAGTGGGTGCATGCTTGTATGTACATTTTAATTTAACTGCATGTATGCATGCCATTCATTTATGATACCTTAAATACATTCTAAGTATACTTAAAGTATACTGTACTAATCAGTTTGCCACTTGTTGTTTTACTCATGAAGTATACTTGAAGTGCACTGCAAAATTTTCAGTACCTGTCAAGTATACTTCAAGTATACTTTTGGGTGTTCCAATTTAGGGTGGGAACAAGTATACTACAAGTATACTTTTAGTAGCACTGAAAACCATACTTCAAGTCTACTGAAAGTATACTTTGTGTATCTTATTTGCAGTACACTTTGATTGCAGAATTAGTATACTTAATTAAAGTACACTTAATTTTGGTAAGAGTTAGCAGCTCATCTGCAAAATAATTTCTCTACTATAGTATATCATCCGCAGATCAAAATATCATTTACTTAGTTTCATTGTGAAGGTCAAAGAAAGTTGAAATATAAAGAAAGTAAGAAACATCCTTATCACAAGCAATGCTTGCTACGAGGAGTCACTCATTACCTTGAAGTATGATGTCTCAGACAAGGTCTACATTGAAATTTCGCGAATGTAACTACCATCAAGTTCTTCACTCTGACGAAGGACTAATTTTCGAAATTTCATCTTTAGAAATTCTTTACGGTGGCCAATTTAAATCAGGGACTCAGTAGATAAAACAAAATTATCTTAATAAATGAGTAAGTTTGCTTTATGTTGAGTACCTGAAGCTGTTTTGTGTTGATCCGATGTGACACAAATTGTATGTTTCTGATTACAAGATGGATCTGAATGACGGAGAAGACCAGCTGCGGAGAAAATAAAACATCATTAAAATCAATCTTCAATCAGGCGCCTGATAAGATTCAAAAGTATTACAATTCCTTCCAAGTTTGATGTTGAATACCTGATTGTAAAATATTTATATCAACGATCTAAGATCTGCCAGTAGAGTCTAGTGCAGTGTCGTATTATAAAGTTGCTGCTTGACTTTGTGAATTGTGAAACACCCAACTTCCAGTTTGTTTTCTGGGAATTTGTATAAAAGCTTTTCAGTTTCCAGAAAAAATTCACACGTGGAGGTTCTCTGCTAGTGGAAAGTCTATTTTACTGCTAAAAACATAAATCAAAATTAGAGAGAAGTCCTTGTGCAAAGGACCATTTAGTCAGAAAAAAAAACTCCTGGGAGTCCTCTCCACGCTGACATCTAAATTACGAACAAAGGAGTCGCCATCAAATCTACATTTGTCGTACAAAGACTAAAAACGAAGTTTCCTTTCAATAAGCAAGTACCGGCCTTGATATAAAAACATAGGTATTCACCTTGAATCGTATGAAATCATGAATAAAACTACTCCAGGGAACTAATTTCAGCAATAAGGGTATTCCTAAAGCTGTCTTTTGATTCGGTGTTTTGCTTTTCAGCAGTTTCTCTAGCTTTGCCTTTTTTGCTGCGGCTTTTTCCTTTGTCAGCTTTGCCCATTACTCAATGTTCAACAGAGCAAGATAAAAAAACATGATTGCCATACAATACTTAACGATGTGCAATACCTGAGTGAGAAACATCAATGACTGGTAGAGCCTTGTCCAAAGATGAGCAGTGTTTGTAGTTTCTGCGAAGTTTAAGACGCTTGATAAAACGCACGTTCACCTGACAATCATTTTTTGGTAGTTTTTATTGGGATATCTGATTGAAAAAAATTCTCGAGTTATGGAGCTTTGTTCAAAGACTAGTGCAGTATATGTAAAATTTGCAAGATTCTGAGAAGTTTGAGAAGCTTCAGCCCTATTTGATGACAAGTAAAACTGCAAAAAGCCTATCAATTTGTAGGAAATGAGTGTAAACTTGGCTTGACCTGTCATTCAGTCATTTTTTACCTGCGACACCCTATCAGTAGAAAACCGGATATATAGTTCAATACACAAAAGGTGGTTTGCACGTTACGTCATTGCCGCCATGTTGGTGGACGTAAACAWWWGMWATCYYMWTWRSYTCTTTTGTTTGTCCACCAGCATTTGTTCCTTTCACCATTGTTACCTGTGTCTCTAGAGATTGGTTGCAAACCACCTATAGAAACCCTAAAGGCACGAGAGATCTTACTCTTCTAACTATATTTCTGTCGCTACTTTTCTCTTTTGCATATTGCGGTGATATAAATCATGCAAAATCCCAAAAATAAAGCTGCCACAAAGTTCCAAAAATAGGGATATTTGTTTGAAGGCATCTAATGATGAATTTCACGAGATCATCGAGGCCTTACTGCACGATTGAAAATTACTGAGCCACAACTCGACAAAATCTTTGATGGTGTAGAAAGATTCTGATCGAATTGCTGCAGACTGAAACAATATGGTTCAGGCAGAAATAACAGGGTGAAGACAGGGAACAACATGTTTTTTTTTTTTTTCGGTCTAAATCCGTCGCAAGTGCAATAATCAACAGTTCGTGATCTGCAAATGTCTTACAGCAATATGCACAAGAGCCACCCAGACTAATTATCAAGGAAAATGCATAATATAATATGGATCAACAAGTAATTTCACTTGCATCGTTAAGAACCTGAAGCTTTTCAAAATAGCAGCATTTCGGGAGTTATCAAAGATGCAAAGTAAAATATAGATCAGCAAGTAAACGAGTTTACTTTGTGTTAGGTACCTAAAGCTATTCTCTACTGATCCCAAGTAACCAGCTTCTGTGCTCAGGAGTCACGTAGATGGGGCTGTCACCTGCTAATTAAATTAAATATTATGAAAATCACGCTTCATTGTACCTTTACTTGCCATAACAGGGACCTTTAGCACTGACGACGAGAACGTGGACAACGACGTATATGACCGATTTAGGCCTGAGACGGGACCGTCGTCCATGGCGGGAAACATAAATACTTTAGCACATCGGTTATGTGGACGAGTCCTTAGCTTTACTGCTAATTTGAAAATGCAAAAATTATCCACTAAAACAATTTAACTTTTT